CAGAGGCTGTCTCCCGGGGCGGGGCTCTGGGCAGGGCCGGGGTCTGCTCCTCAGCCCTGGGAGGTGCCTCGTCCTGGCCGCAGCCCTGTCCTCAGCCCTCTCCCTGTCGCCGCCAGTAAAGCGGAACTTCAGCAGCGGCACCATCCCCGGCACCCCTGGGCCCAACGGAGAGGACGGGGTGGAGCAGACGGCCATCAAGGTGTCCCTCAAGTGCCCCATCACCTTCCGCCGGATCCAGCTCCCCGCCCGCGGCCACGACTGTCGCCACATTCAGGTGGGTCACCGCAGTCTCTCTGGCAGCGGAGACTCGGCACCTGGGCCAGCAGGTGGCCTGGTTTCCATGCCCTTGGGCTGGGCTTCCTTAAGGACTAAGCGTAGTAACCTTACTGCCCTCGCGGAAGGGGGGGCGTGCAGGTGCAGTCCCTCCTAAGACCCAGGAGCCCCACAGGTTCTCCACAGAAACGGAGCGAGTGCCCTGCCCAGCATAAGACACACACACCCTGTGCCCTTGCTGTAGGCAGCACCTCGGGCACAGTTGCAGCTCTGGCTTTGCCCCGTGGCGTCTGGCCCAGTGGGGCCATGTGGCTGCCCCCCAGTCTCGGCCCGTTAGACGCCGGGGTCGTGAAAACCTGGTGCCCGGGCTTCCCAGACACACAGGAAATGGGCTGGGCTGCCCTGTGTGAGACGTCTTCTCTCCCCAGTGCTTCGACCTGGAGTCCTACCTGCAGCTCAACTGTGAGCGGGGGACCTGGCGGTGCCCCGTGTGCAAGTAAGTCCCAGACCGGGGACGCGTACGGGGTCCCAGACCAGGCCTCGGCGCTGCTGGGAAAGGACGCTTCTCCAGGGACGCGTACGGGGGTCCCAGCACAGCCTCCACAGGCGTGGCCAACTCGGGAGACCTCATGCAGGGTCACCCCACACGGGCGGCCTCCAGGGAAGGATGGAGCTGAGAAAGGACAGGCCTGGGCCCAGGGCGAGGTTGGTCAGGCCTCTGAGCTGCGTTCTGTTTGCTTTCTGCAGCAAGACGGCCCTGCTGGAGGGCCTGGAGGTGGACCAGTACATGCTGGGCATCCTCATCTACATTCAGAAGTGAGTTCCCTGCGGCCTCCGGCCTCTGGCCAGCAGAGGGCAGCCCCTGGGATGGGC